GTTGTACATTCCGTTACGTTTAATCACGTACTAAAGCATAATAACGCTACTTTCAATCTGTTTTAAAATTAATGAAGTAGTGTAATCATGTGTATGAGTAAATATTTTAATTCTACTCATGAAATAGTTCATCAACAAACAGTTTTCTTTCAGCGAGCTAGTGAAATATTTATGATTTCGAACTGGCTGTTCAGTACGATATCAAACTTTTGAGTTCTATTGCTTAGCTGAAAGCTAATGATGCCGTTGTCGTCCAGACTCGTAACCAGATTTCAGTCTGACCCGCATGCTGCATGAGTATGAAATTCTTGGCTTTAAGAAGGTAAAGGATGCTAGGACTACGCTGGTTATTTGCCAGAGAACAATAGCAATACAATGAAGTGTAACTACCAGCAAGTCGTTGGGTTGGTTTACTAGAAATTGAACTGATTGCAATTGTCACTGATGGTCGTATAGTGCCACCTTTTGATAAACTTACATCGGAAAAATGAGTTACGACGGACTGGTGAGTAAGTTGAGTGAGTATCCTGATAGTAACCGAAAGCTTTATGTGGAATCAACATGAATTTCTCACTTTTAGGCTTCGAAACCAAAATTATTTCAAACCATTGTTATACCAAATATAACGATTTAGTTCAAAAACGTTACTTATTTGCTCCCATTTCATGTAAAATAATTCTAAGTTAAAATATATGAATTTATTTCAAACAATTCCCCAAACAAATGCCAAAATATTCTCCGAAATATCTCCATATTTATGTTTTAATACGTAACAACCGTTTCTGATGAATTATAGAATCAATTAGATATAAACTAATAAGCCTTAGGCATCGAAGGTTTCAAATCCGAGGAAATGGGATTAACTTCTACAATAAACTCAATCTAGTAGATGTGGCTTGCCGGATGTTATAAGTGCGGATGGTGCGGAAAGCTTTCACAACTTCTTATTCAGCTTCAATCAGCGTAAATGCCTGAAGCTATCGTCCGTTGGATCAAGATCCTATTGGACGAAAAAAAAATTTGTATGGCGAGATGGTTTTGGGATGTAAAACAAATGTTTAGAGGATTTACTTCCACATGCAGCTTTTGCCACAGTAACTTTCCAAATAGTTCCTTATTCTCTCTTTGAATGACTGGTGAATCGGTTTGGCAATGTAATATTCCTTGAATCAAAATGGTCGCCTGCTCGATTCCTACAAAAAAGGAATACATTAAAAAATAATAGTTGATTTTTCTAAATACGCATACACAAAATCCCAGATGACAGGGGGTAAATAATAGAATGAAATCTCGATGAACATTTCAAATGGTCCTATCTGCTTTGATCGATTCTCTTCATCGACTTTTTCTTTCGTCAATAACTCAGCTGCAAAACCTTTCACTGTTGTATTTGACGTTTTGGACGCTAGATAAGAACCTCCTTTATCAAACTATGTGGTAGAATTAGCGCGAAATCTGTTTGCATAGCAGTGGTTATGAAAAGAGAAAGTCGATGAAGAGAATCGATCAAAGCAGATAGGACCATTTGAAATGTTCATCGAGAAATCTGTCTAGCAACGGTAATAACAAACTAGCCTAAATATTTCTGAAGTATTTTTAAGTATATTCAGGTATGTTAGGTATCAGTAAGAGCTTTCTGAGTATAATGCGAGAAATATAAAGTTTAGAGTGGGATGCCCCTAGGTCATTCATGTCGGTTTGTCGGTGCTTTCATCTCCTCCATCTATCGTATAAAATGACCACTTTAAGTCTGTTATTTGAAACTTAGCATCTTCAGCTTTGTAAATCGTTGACTACATAGCAGAAGTAATACAAACAAAATAGTTAAAGTTATGAAGTTGTTGAGAAGGTTCCTTAGCATACTTAAATATATTCTAATCTAATTTTTAAGAATTGCTTGATATCTGATACTAGGATTTCAAAATTCCCTGAACACTCCAGATTTTTCCAGAAGGTTGCCAGGATTTCCATGATTTACAAAGTTTTTCAAGGTAGTAGACACCCTGTCATTGGTTAACGGTGCAAGCAAGAATATGCTCGGCAAATGAGAACGACCCAAATTTGAGTTTAGTTCACTCATAATCGCCAAAAGTGCAGGAACTCAGCGATGAGCTAATTTGCCTCATGATTTCATGCGGAAAACCCTAAAAAATCTGCCGGAAAATGAGAAAATTGTCGAAAATTTTACTTAGTCTAGGAGAAGTACCAGTAGACTAAGTGAATCCAATCTACACTTTTCTCATATTCGGAAAGTTTTTCCTTGACAAACCTGGAAAAACCTTGAAAAACATGATGCAAATTTACTCATCACTGAGTACCTGCACTTTTTGTGATTTGTGAGTTAACTAAACTCAAATTTGGGTCGTTCTCTTTCGCCGTGTGAGCTTAGTGGAAGTGTGACCGAGTTGGGATCGATGAAACTGAAATAAGGTAGTATGAAGATAGTTGGTGATCCCAACTAAAGTGCAGCATCAATATGACAGCAAATCAAAATCAAATTTTGATATCAACATCAAACCACAGACGAACAGACGTAACACTTCTTTGTGTATCTTCGTTCACGCATTTAACGGTTGATTTGAATATTATCAGTTCCGTGAACTACTCGCCGCAGCGCTGGCATCGGAACACTTTTACGTTTCTATACATTCTATAGAACTGGCTCTCCTACTATCCCCTATAAATGTATCGGAAACTAGTGGGACTGTCTGTGCAAACAGAAACAGGCCTGCTAGTGGAAGAAGGTCGTTATGCTATACGGTCTAGCATAGGCCTACGGCCAGGTTTCAGTAGGTACACACTCGCTTAACGGCAGATTGGTTTACACTGGTCGACCAGGGTGTGTGCTGATAAATTTCAAAATTACAATTAGATCATTATTTCATACATCAGCTTGAATTACGGTGATCGATATTAATTTTTTTTTTCGCTGTGCACTACACCACCGGAGCCAGCAAAGTTCAACATTCCATCGTTGCTTATGCCTTTGTTGTCGTTTGGAACCAGTTTTGCGAGGTAGGCGACGATTGTGCCTATTTCTCGCGTAACTTTTGAAAAGGGCCTATTTATAGCCTGAACAATACGTAAAGAGCAAATTGAAACATTGAACGTCGCGTGAAAGTGGAACTTAATGAAGGCCTAAGTACTTTTTCGTAGTTTTTAGTTTTCGGATTTGAAAGATCGTCGGTTACAGTGGCCTGCGTACTGATCAGAAAAACGCGGTCCCAGGTCCTTACATATCAAAGAGATTTACATGGTAAAATCGCTTCTGTATCGTGTATTTTGCGAAACTCGTTGTTGTCGTTGGTTCCGGGTTTCAATGGATACAAAAATTTGAGCAACGGTGTGAAGTGATATGAGGGGCTCGGTGACCTTAGAGCAACCGTTTTTGCTTACTGAGCAGAACATCATGAGTCTAATCTCAGGCCCATCCACATTCAAGATTCGTCAATCGTTTTATTTGTTAATATGACTACATGGTAATAACAGCAACTCGGTGATTAAAAAGGTGCTCGTTTGCCTAGTGGCAAACGTTTTTGCTTACTGAGCAGAAGACCGTGGGTTTAGTCCCAAGCTCCTTCGCGTTATATGATCGTTAGGACATCAATTCAGCTTATCGTTTACCAAAACGAACCCTGCTGCAAACCCAACCCTATTACCCAATATCCCAGTGATTCCTCGTGGAAGTGCAGAGGTGTTCTCGGCTTCCATCAAAGCGAGTGTCACGTCAACACATTCCTACCCCTTCCTTTCTTGAGCTGTGTTCGGGCGCGGTCGGCGCTGGTATTGCCTAATTTTAGATCACCAGTTTTTACACATTGAAGATGATTGCTAGTCCCAAGCATCGTCTATTGGTTCTCTGTGTAATTACAGCTAATCTCGTAATAACAGAGTAGCAACCGTTGGCGGTCAATCAAGCTCAAGCTCTATACATTCTATAGAACTTTTATGCAATATTGTTTGCGAGTTAGCGAGCAAGCTTCTTTGCCGCGAGAAGCCCGAGAGATGTCGTTCCTAAGGTACTATGTTTTGAGATACTATGTTTTCAAGAAAAACTTTTTCAAATTGTTACGTCTGTTTGTCTGTGATCAAACTGCAATCATAATTTGATTTCAGTTTACGCGGTTACATATTTGAATCAAATTATGTTTTAATTTTGCTCTACATCTTCAAAAATATATTGATGTAGTTTCGTCACCGACAAACCGACATGAATGGTCATACAAAGTATCATCAAATTTCTGATCAAAGCACAAAACTGACATCTGCCGCCGTGTTCGCGAAAAATGTGTATCCTAGCCACGAACACACATACTAAATGTATGAGTTGGTTCGTGTCTAATCTATTCCGAGCAATTTATTTTTATCTAGATAACAAATTTCTATGGTTTTGACAGATGGGATCTCTGCACATTTGAATCTGCCGTTATGGATTCTCGATCAAGAGTTAAGTTTTAGTTTCATGTCGGGTTGTCGGTGGTTTCGTTTTTATTGCTTTAGTAGTCGTTTTGTTATCAACAGGAAAAATGTACATCAAATTGAGTTTTCAGTTTACTCTCTCTCTTTTCAATGTGATGTCACAGGAAGATTTTTTCGCTCTTAATTTTGATATTTTCACCGTTAAAACGACTAAAACGTTATCTTAAGCAATCATTATCAACGACATCACAACATCAAATTTAGTTTTGAATTTGATGTCAGACTTTGCTCGGGATATAAGAGGTTCATCGTTGAGCGTAAAAACGACCCGAAACAATTATCTGCCTTATTGCAATAACAACACAAAATTCCAAATTAAAAATGATATTTACAAGCTTGTCCTTCGGAATAGCGCCGTTTTCCAGAAAAACCAGCTCTGTTATTAGTCAAAGACAACATCTAACCAGTTCAGTTTGCTATATATAGAAATTTTTTTAGGTGCTGCAGCTGCCCCTGAGTAAAATCGGTTAGCAATTGCTGAATGCTATGCCTGCGCGATAGAACCTCGTAAACCATCATACCTCTTTGGATTCCTTCTCCGAGATGGACGACCGTCCGGGAGTGTAGTTCTCGATCCGGCCCGGTTGATTCCGGTACTGCTGCGTTCCGGACCTGATGGCCGATCCCTGAAGCGTGTTGAATCTAAAATTGAAGTGGGAAGTTATTGAAAGTGTGTAATTTTTACAAACAGAAGCAGACAAGACATACTTGGAGTAGTTGTTGGGATTCAACGGCGTTCGTCTCCGATCGAGGGTACTGTACTTGATTGTGTAATCGGAGTCGTAGTTTGGCTCCGGTTCCGATTGGTAGCCGCTGGTTTTGTACGGGAAGTTTCCTGATTGAGGGGGAGAAATTTTGGATTAATATTTTTTGTGAAACATTCGGGAAGGGATCGCTTCCTTCACCATTTCCGTGCATGCGGGTGCGTGATTATGTGTGATTAATGTGAACAAACACAAATGCCTCTAGGTAGGTATGTACATCATGCAAATATTTTTTTTTTAAATGTGAATAATTGTGAGATTGTGATTTGCTGTTTCCGTTTTAATTTGTAAGAAAGTATTTAAATGTATGTGTGTCTTATTTGTCACTAGAGCACGACGCGCAAATCAAGATTAATGAACCTGCTGCAAATACTGAGTGACATCCGGAAACTTCAACCTGATGACGGGATGATTGAATTTCTACTTCCCATATCTGCTGAAAGCGAGGTTAGATATAAATTGAGTTTCACCATCTTTTCCACAACGAAGTGATGAAGCTGGATGATGGCACGTGGTGGGGATGCTGATTTGTTGTTTACAATCTCATTCCGTTGTATCGATACATATCTTCATCGGGTGCACTGCTAAATTGGATTCCCCAGCGGGTTGGATGAAATGTAAATGGTTCTTTGAATAACGTTTACGGTTTCGGCTGTTGTTCGTTATCTTAAAATTGTTTTTTTTAGGAAGGTTCCATGCCAGGACCAAAACGTAGGTGATGGGCAAATAGTAATCGACACTATCCTAATTCGGCTGCATGCCGAAAAAAAAAAAACCTATTCCAAGATCTTCAAATAACAGACGCATGAATCGTATGCAACATGTGTGCTAGAATTGCTGTCATTAGCTGACGAGCGAATGCGATTTCGTTGAAATATCTCGTAATATGATTGCCCACATTGATGGGTTGAAAATTTATGAATTTCCTCGTGGATAAAATTGATTTTCTACGTCGTATTCTGTAATCCCTAGCTTGCAATGACCGAATGACAACTAGAAACGAGTGGAGCTACCGGTCCGAGTCGCAGGACCCTGATTATGGCACTCAAATTGCATCGGATTTGATTCCATCCAGCACAATTCCAATTGCTGCTGCAGTTGCAATTGGATTTCTCCTGTGCAACGAAAGAACGATGATGGGGACGGAAAATCAAATTCGTTGACCCGGCCAAGAGAGTCAAATCATTGGCTCTTGTCGACATCTTCGTCCCCACTGCGAGCGAAGACAGAAAGTGGACCTGAGCGGACAATCAGATGGACTGAGATTGACTTTCCGAGTCGGGGTATGTACGGTTTCGTTACTCAAGCGAAGCTCGCTTGATACCTGCTAAAATATTCCGATCCAATTTCACCACCAGCATCCTGCAGCTCCTGAATTAATGACCAATTTCCAGCAATCTTCCGCCGATCTCTAATTAGAAATCGATCCCCGGTTGTAGACACCCTCAACGCGACTCTCCCGGTCCGTCTATTCAAACACTTCCGCGCTCTGCAATAACTTCGAGCGTAAATAGACGGGCGGAAAAGCCGGAAGCGAGTAATTAGATTCACTACTTCCGTTTCGGTCATTTCCGGATAATGACAGCGGCGGTGGAGAATCGTCGAGAGGAAATCGATACCGACAATCTTGGCTTCGTCTCGATTGATTGCGCTGCTGCTGCTGCTGCTGAAAAGGATTTTCGCTGGATGGGTTGGGAGGGGATACGCGTGAATCAGTACATGAATTGTTCTCGTAGAAATGCAATCTGCATCCTATTAGCGACTGGGAAGGATTGTTTTACGAAGAGTAGCGGGATTTGTGGAGAAGGAGAGGAAACACTGATTGAGTGCAATTTTGCAAAGTAGCACCGTCGTCGTCGTCGTTGTCGTGGGTCGGTGTTGGTTGAACGTTGCTGTGTTCCGCAATTGTGGAAAGACACTTGTTCTACTGTGAAAATGCTTTAATTTCATTGATCTTGGATTGGGTTTCTTGAATTTTCAATCATTAGGTTATGTTGAATTCTAGTTTTTGCGTGCCCTGAATTGTTGGGGCATTCAAAATTTCAATTGGAGCTGTTTCATGCGTGAAGTCGCAATAGTGTCCAATGTTTGTGCTCTAGGAAATTTTAAGTTGTAGTGCATGTCTGTCACCAAGACAGCCATTTATGGACTCTGTATTTTTTTATTATATTTATGGAAATTGACGGCTTCTTTGATTACTTTACTAAACAGGGGGTAGGCAAATTAAATCTTTGAGTGCTAATGTTTGGTATGAGGATGCACCATGTTTCAAAATCTATCGTTTCTGGAAAATATCTCATGGGGTTTTAGGAGATAAAATCTTTTCTGGGGATCCTGGAGAATCCTTTCCTACCATTCTTAAAGAATCTCATCTCTGATTCTTGTCAATTCCTTCTGATATTGGTGGAGAACCGTGTTAGGTTATTATTTACAAAAATCTCAACAGCTGGAAGTTCTGTAAAACTTTGACCTTCATTGTATAGCCCATTATCCACAAAAATATGTTCAAAACTCGGTCAAGCTTATTCAAATGGTCAAATCTTGGTATTGTAGGGGAGTGTTAGTATTGTTTTTAGCTTTAAAACAATCAAACAGAGCTGCCCAAATCTTACCAAGCAGTTCAGTTGATGAGGTTTTGGAGAAAAAATACAGAAGTCGGCGATAATTTCTAAGTGTGAATGTCTGCTGGGAATGTTGAAAAATATTTTTTTGTTTTCCTAGTGAAGAAGTGAGATTCTTGAAGATATTTTCATAGTTTGTTGGACCCTCAAAGAATGTTGGAGAATCTTTCGTGGGAAACTTATTCGGACTATTTGGGAATCTCTTTCAGAAGTGTTTGAGAACCCCTTCTAGGATTTTTGAAAAATCCTTTTCTGGTTTACTGGAATCGACCCATCAATTCATGGTAGGATCCAGGTGTGGGTGCTGCCTGTCTGGCGTCAGTAGCATTGGTACTCACTCAGTACGTTAAATATGATCGGCGGAAAACAAATCATGGAAAAAAAATGTTGGCAGCTCGCTCCCATAAAAAATCCCACTGAGGGTCGGTAAGATGGAGAGTTTTGCTAATGTAATAGCACTTATTTAAAATAGTTCCATTGTACCAAATGCCTTTACAGAGATTGTATGCCTCAGAAAATCCCAACGGCACCGACTATAGGAGTATTTTTAAAAATTTTGGAATTTCCCATTATTCGTAGATACTTCCTTAAATTAATGGAAGTGCTCTGAAGTTTCTTGATCTCGCTCAAAGTTCTCGGAAGTTTCCGCAAGATAGGGAAACTGGCAAAAATCTCTAAAATTCTTTAAAATTCGATGAATTTCCCTGAAGATATCGGAAAATTATGGAAATACTCTTGTTTTTTTCTGAAATTAATTAGACTGCCTGAAGTTCCCATAATTTTGCTGAAGTTTTCGGAACTTCCCATAGAATGTTGCTGCATTTTTGCGATGGTCATGAACCATCCCTGAAGATTCTGCAATTTTCCTGATACTCTCGGGATTTTGCTAACGTTTTCGGAACTTCTTTAAACGATCTATAATTTAATTATCATGGATCATGGAGCTTTCCAGAAGTTCTCGCAATCATCCAGAAGTGCTTAAACATCCGTTAAGTTTGCTGGACTTCCATGAAGTTCCTGAAATGTTTCTAAAGTTTCTGAACTTCTTTGGAGTTTTCTGGACGTCCCTGAAATTTCCAGAATTTCTTACAAGAGTGCCTGTTGAAAATTTGGATCCGAAGAAATAGCATTTGGGAATATAGGCCCTTGCCGATACAGGAGCGTATGAGACTTCATGTGACCACTAAAATCATAAAAAGGGGGAAAACCTTTTTCATTTCACATGTGTAGGCGGATATTTAAAAGAAAAATATAAGATTTTGAGCCTCTGAAAAATTGTAAGATTCTTGAACCAGAGTAGATTTTTTGTTTCGAAGGAATTTTGAGAAGATTCCAGATTTTAGAATGAATGTCAGGGATATTACAGAGAGAGAAAATGAAAAGGAGTTTTAGAAAGACCTTTTAGAGATTTTAGACCTCTACTGCAAGTCACTTGTGTGAGATAAGATTCAGAGTAGAAATTTTAAGTAGATCTGTGGGCAATTCCATGTCGATTGTGAAGATCCCAGGATGCGTGAAAAATGCCAAAGGTATCGAATTTTGAGGGTACAATTCCAAAGGAATTCTGAAAATAATTTAAGGAAATTCCAAGTGCATCACGAAACGAATTTCTGGAGAATTTTAAGGCAATTTCTAAGTAAAATTTTAGAAAAATGTAGAGAAGAAGTCCTTGAGATAATTCTTAACAAAATTTTTAAGTGAAATCTGAGGTGAATTGCTTGCGTTAGAAAGCTCGAAAGATATCTAATGATGAATTTCATACTTTTTTGGGATTGATCTGCAGAGAATTTTTAGACTGTTGTAATTACATGTGGTAGGGAGCCCCAGAGAGAATCTCAAACTTCTTTTAGAATAAATCTGGAATAATCTCTATGAAGGAAAATGAATCCAGAGGAAATGCTTCAATATTCTAATAAGATCCTGCAAAGGGTTAATAAAAACGCTTGCCAAATCGGGTTCTTCGTCATTTACTTTCGAGCAACGGACGGATAAGCGTCGAATACGACGTATGAGTGAAACAGCACGCATCGCATCAATACGAAAACGACGACGAGGAAGGAAAGGCTTCCCTAAATAGGCAGCATGACTGGGTCGCCGTTTTCCGGTCGGCATCGACTTGCACTGGTGTGAAAGAATCATCTAGCGCTAGTTGTTCTTTCACAACAATCCAATTCAATGCTGGTCGGAGCACGTCTTGGTCTGGTGTCGGTGTGAACGCTGCCATGTACTTGCAACTACGAACGAAAAGCACTCCAAAAGGGATGAGCCTTATGAGCTATTCTGCAAGTATAAAACAGACTGTAATTCAGTGAACATGATCAGCTGCAATTCAATCAGCTGTGGAAAAACCCACAAAGTGGGCGTGGACATCGGAATGAAAAGCATCACCAACGGCAACGACATCCTTCGAACGTTACACAGCTGAGTTTGACTACAATAATCACCTGCGG